GCTGATCCACCTGCTTCAGCCTCCCAAAGTACCGGGATTACAGGCGTGAGCCATCATGCCCGATCAAAAAAACAGCTATTTTTCTACTCTGGTTGACTAGCAGAGGAAATCCTAAGGTAGCTCCACCATACCAAAGACACCAAAAAAATGGCCCAGCAAAATTGTTAGTGGTAAACTCTGGCTGAATTTACTTGTCGTATAGTAAGAATGGTTAGAGATCAATGGCTGGGCGTGGTGGCTCATGCTTGCAATCCCAGCACTTTGAGAGACCAAGTCGGGTGGATCACTTGAGGTCAGGAGTTTGAGACCAGCCTGGCCAACATGGTAAAGCCCCATCTCTACTAAAAATACAAAAATTAGCCTGGCATGGTGGCACACGCCTGTAATCCCAGTTACATGGAGGCTGAGGCAGGAGAATCAGTGAACTAAGATAGTGCCATTGTACTCCAGCCTGGGCAATAGAATAAGACTCTGTCTTAAAAAAAAAAAAAAAAAAAAAAAAAAAACAACCTGGTAGAGATTAGCACATGAACTCAATCTACACATCTGGCTTTAAATACAGGGCAGAGGTTGTTGGCTTTCAATGTAGTAGAAACACAGTAACCTTGGGAAGATTTTAGTCATTCAGGCTAGTCTCTGTCTCTCTCCAGATTTATCTCCTAACTTGATCAAATTTATTTGATTTAGTGGTCATTTGTTCATTCAATGGAGGCATCACCTGGATCAAGACAGAGCACCTATAGGATAGTTAAATCTCCAGCTGGTCAATAGCCTAGGCTCTAATGTGGCATACTATATTCAGAACGAAGCATCACTTGCACCTCTGAAATTTATCTACTTAACCCAGGGAGACCTAACAGAGCTCTTGCTGATGTCTCTGGGATATTATTAGTAACACTAAGAATTCTTGGCCAGGCACAGTGGCTGACGCCTATAGCCCCAGCACTTTGGGAGGCCAAGGTAGGAGGGATCGCTTGAGGCTAGGAGTTCAAGACCAGCCTGTGCAACATGGTAAGACCTTTGTCTCTATAAACAAAACAAAACAAAACAGAACAAAGAATTCTCTGCCAACAACTTATGTGGCTGGGTTTGCTCCCTTTCCCAGTCTAAGTACAGTCTATGTATGTCCATAAGAGAGGTGCATGAGAAACATTCCACAGGCAGCTATTTCCAATGCCACTTGCTGGGCAGCAGTCTGATTTAGGTAGTTCTGGGGACAGTGAGACACCCTGCACAATAACCACCAACATGGACATGCTGGGTTTTGCTGGCATCGTATGAAACATAGGTTTTTAAAGAACATACTCCTGGCTGGGCACAGTGGTTCACGCCTGTAATCCCAGCACTTTGAGAGGCCAAGGCAGGAGGACTGATTGAGCTTGAGACCAGCTTGGGCAACATGGCAAAACCCCATCACTAACAAAGAAATACAAAAATTAGCCAGGTGTGGCGGTGTGTACCTGTAATCCCAGCTACTCAGGAGGCTAAGGTGGGAGGATTGCTTGAGCCTGGGAGGCCAGAGGTTGCAGTGAGCTGAGAACATGCCACTACACTCCAGCTTGGGCAACAGAGCCAGACTGTCTCCCAAAAAAAAAAAAATCCTGTTCTTAAAGCACATAAATGTTAAATATGCATATATAGTAACACAATTTCTTTTTTTTTTTTTTTGAGACGGAATTTCGCTCTTGTTACCCAGGCTGGAGTGCAATGGCACAATCTCGGCTCACCGCAACCTCCGCCTCCCGGGTTCAGGCAATTCTCCTGCCTCAGCCTCCTGAGTAGCTGGGATTACAGGCACGAGCCACCATGCCCAGCTAATTTTTTGTATTTTTAGTAGAGATGGGGTTTCACCATGTTGACCAAGATGGTCTCGATTTCTTGACCTTGTGATCCACCCGCCTTGGCATCCCAAAGTGCTGGGATTACAGGCGTGAGCCACGGCGCCTGGCCTGGAAATTCATTTTTGAGAAAGATTAAAATTACTACAGATCAATGAAAACACCGATATGTTAAAAGGATGTCCACTTTGGGAGGCCGAGGCGGGTGGATCACGAGGTCAAGAGATCAAGACCATCCTGATCAACATGGTGAAACCCCGTCTCTACTAAAAATACAAAAAATTAGCTGGGCATGGTGGCGCGTGCCTGTAATCCCAGCTACTCAGGGGGCTGAGGCAGGAGAATTGCCTGAACCCAGGAGGCGGAGGTTGAGGTGAGCCGAGATCGTGCCATTGCACTCCAGCCTGGGTAACAAGAGCGAAATTCCGTCTCAAAAAAAAAAAAAAAAAAAAAAAAAAAAAGGATGTCTATCTGGTCTGCACAGTAACTGATAAGTACCATCTTATATCCACTACAGTTTGGAAACACCCCTTTTTCTTTTTAGTTATCAGACCCACAGCCTGCAACAACTGGCTCTGAGTTCAGGATTCTGTCAGTGTTCTGTGCAAATCTGAGCTCTCCAGTTAAACATCTGTGAGTGTAAATGTGCGAAAATAACCCTAGTAGTCAAAGTGTCAGAATATAATATAAAAGAACAAAATTATCATTCAATAAAAACTTGAAATTATCAAACAAGTAGAAAAGATAATAAGGCAATATAGGTTTGATTCAATCAGCAACAAGTTTAGAGACTGCCAATGTCTTAAGGAATCTGCCAAAAAACAAAACAAAACAAAAAATTTGTCTCTGAAATTTAAAAAATGAATTGTAGATTTCTGAAACAGGGTTTGTGATCCTGGGCAATGCTAAGATTACTTGCCAGAGAGAAGAAGATACTCACAGGCAGAAGCCAACTAGGAGGAAATGTGGCTATTTGGTAACTGCTTAGAATGCGATGACTGGTTATATTACGTATTATGCTGTTGTATTATTTATTGAATATTTTAACCAGAATTTTAAGTTCTCTAACTTCTTCATACCCAGTTGTAGACTGTAAGTTAATATTACATGCATTTTAATTTTAATACCGCGCCCCGCCTCTTAATAGCAACTTAAGTATTGTCTTACCATCAGAGAAGAGATGCTCTCTTTCAACAAACAGCTGTAGAAGCTTCCTCAGCTCATACTGGGTCTTACACTGCTGTAGCATAAGCTTCAAAAGGAAACACACCTGATCCTCTAGCCACATGGCAGGGATGACAAGGTGGACCTTTGTGGCTGCTGTGTTAAGCTATGAGAGAAAAAGAGAGGCTTAGGGAAAGCAGTTTCATAAGAATAGCAAATCAAAACCTCCAAATCTGGGAACCTCTAAGAAAGCTACAATTCCCTCAAAAGCTGTCTCCTGTCACAAAGGGAGGCCCTTACTCAGGTCCTTTCCAAATGGCAGGAACTGGTAATGGGGCTCAGAGGACTGGCAAAAACAAGCCCTTCTCAGCAGCTCTGCACATTGTCTCTTTGTGGAAAGTTCTGGGATAGAGCTGCATGTGTGAAAAAGATGGGCAAGAGTCCTCAAGACTGAATACTATCGAATTAATTAATGTAAAATAATCCCACTTAGTGACTGTTAAATTAAGGCTGCTTTGAGTTGCTGTGAAATTAACCAGATGTTTCACTTAGCAGCTTTTTTTTGGGGGGGGGAGGGGCGGGACAGAGTCTCACTCTGTCACCCAGGCTGGAGTGCAGTGGCATGGTCTCTGCAACCTCTGCCTCCCAGGTTCAAGAGATTCTCCTGCATAAGTCTCCTGAGTAGCTGGGATTATAGGCACCCACCAGCACGCCCAGCTAATTTTTGTATTTTTAGTAGAGATGGGGTTTCACCATATTGGCCAGGCGGGTGGGTCTTCAACTCATGACCTCGTGATCTGCCTGCCTCAACTTCCCAAAGTGCTGGGATTATTACAGGCATGAGCCACCATGCCTGGCCAGCAGCTTCTTAAGTGGGGGATGTAGGCCTGCCCCTGAATCCAGAAGATTTTAAATTTACATTATAAAAACTGCTTAGAAAGACTTGCCTAACATCACGTGTATACCTTTGTAACAAACCTGCACGTTCTGCACATGTTCCCCAGAACTGAAAGTATAATTTAAAAAAAAAAAAAAGACTTACCTAACATTACTTAGCTAATTCTATCACTTTGCTTTTAGTTTATTCTTGTTAGAGAGGGGTGTCACTTAAGAAGCCTGGGTTTATATTATTTCAACTAAATTCTAAAAATATTAATAGGAAGATGAATTCAAGTGGCAGGTTGCCATTTCTACAAGTAGGTATGGCAAAAATATCTTCTAGGATGCTGCAGGAACAGGATGATTGCAGAGGAGTGGTGCTTTCTTAACTGCTGCTGCTGCTTTTTTTTTTTTCTTTCCTTTGTGTTGGTGGAGAACAGGGTCTCACTATGTTCTGTTGCCCAGGCTAGTCAAATTCCTGGCCTCAAGCCATCCTCCCACCTCTGCATCCCTAAGTGCTGGGATTACAGGTATGACAACTACACCCCACAGATGCTTCTTTTGTGACTCCATTCTTGATTTTTCTTTGGCTCTTGCTTCATATTATTTTTGGAAGACTAACATTTGGTTCTCAGTCACTATAGTCTCGTAGTTCACTCTAGACTTCATGCAACATAATCAAAAAAATTACTGGGCCTTTTGGTGAAACAGAAACTTAACTGCCTGGTTTCAAAAAATATGTTAATAGGCACCAAATTCAGTACCTCTGTGTCTAGTACTGTGTTAGGCCCTAGTCTTGGCTGGATACTTCCTGTATACTTCTGAACACACTGTAAAAGTTACTCTGAAGGTAAGTTTAATATGCACAGGCTTTGTGGCTGTGACGTAGGTTTTAGAAGACAATATTCCCTTCAGTGGAACTCTCGAGACTGCCAAGATCTTAAATTAAGGCATAGTTTATAAAATCTTATGTCACATTACAGTTATCTTCTTATCCCTACTTGGAACAAATTTCCTTCTCTATCCTCTTTCAGATTCTGAGGTCAGGAATTCAAGACTAACTTGGCCAACGTGGCAAAAGCCCGTCTCCACTAAAAATGCAAAAATTAGCCGGGTGTGGTGGCACGTGCCTGTAGTTCCAGCTACCTTCGTATACCCTATGTGGTCCTCCCTGTCCATTTCTAATCCTCCTCTCAAATTCTAACAGGTCTTACCTACTGGTAAGTATGCTTTTGCAGCCTCTCCCTGAATGCAAAGTGTTTAAGGGAATTACATTGGTAGTCAGCTCATTAAATTAGTTACTATTCCTTCTTAGACACTGTTCCTGAGTTTCCTGTAACCACTGTGACTGGATTTTGATGTTTACAAGAACAAAAGTTTATAATACTTCTATTCTTTTTTTTTATAAGTTTCATTCTCTTTTTCTTTTTTTTTTTTTTTGAGACGGAGTTTCGCTCTTGTTACCCAGGCTGGAGTGCAATGGCGCGATCTCGGCTCACCGCAACCTCCGCCTCCTGGGTTCAGGCAATTCTCCTGCCTCAGCCTCCTGAGTAGCTGGGATTACAGGCACGCGCCACCATGCCCAGCTAATTTTTTGTATTTTTAGTAGAGACGGGGTTTCACCATGTTGACCAGGATGGTCTCGATCTCTTGACCTTGTGATCCACCCGTCTCGGCCTCCCAAAGTGCTGGGATTACAGGCTTGAGCCACCGCGCCCGGCCTTTTTTTTTTTTTTTAAGACAGAGTCTTACTTTATTGCCCGGACTGGAGTGCAATGGCATGATCTCAGTTCCCTATAATCTTTGCCTCCCGAGTTCAAGGTGTTCTCCTGCCTCAGCCTCCCCAGTTGCTGGGATTAGAGGTGTATACCACCATGCCTGGCTAATTTTTATATTTTTAGTAGAGACAGGGTTTCACCATGTTGGCCAGGCTGGTCTTGAACTCCTGACTTCATGATCCACCTGCCTTGGCCTCCCAATTTTTGTATTTTTTTAAAGTTTTTTTTTAACCAAATACCCAGACTTCAAGGAGGTAAGTTTGTGTTTTCTGTAGAAAGGGAGTTTTGCCATGTCACCCAGGCTGATCCTGAACTAGAGTCAAGTGATCCATCTACCTTGGCCGCTCAAAGTGCTGAGAATACAGGTGTGAGCCACCATACCCAGCCCATTATTTTCTGTCACAGTGAATAAGACAGTATTAAACATCCCTCACTCTCAACACTGTTGCAGTTATCCTGGATTGGCAAAATGTGGCCCATGTACCACCATTCTCGTCTCTAGTGCCTAAAGCAGATACTATTACATTCTTTTTCAGTGAGCTTGGCTGAAGCACCAGGATACTGAACACAGTTATCACATTACATGAAACTTCTCAGTTCATGTTCTGAAACTGATAAGCTGCTGTGAGGCCAATGCAACTCCTACCCCAGTTTTTCCATCTCTGGAATGGCATAAATGATATCGTTTGAATTATATACCACAGAACCACTATTCTCCTGCTACCCTATCCTAACTACTAGCAGACAACAGGCCGTCCATGCCAGCCAAGTTCAGATCAGTGAGAAAGAACACCGTAACTGCAACTTACCATTTCAAGGCTCTTCTGAAACTCCAGAAGTTTAGCTTCGGCTTCTTTATAATTCTTGAAGAACATACACAGTTCATACATCTCTATCACCAACAGTAATGGGGAATCCTTTGACAAAGAGTTTGAAAAAAAATTACAAAATTTTGAACTTAAAAATTTTTCAAATAATGTCAAATAAAAGAATGTTAAAAGTATTCTTAATAAGGTAGGGCACAGTGGCTCACGCATTTAATGCCCAGCACTTTGGGAGGCCAAGGCAATGGCATCACTTGAGGCCAGGAGTTCAAGACCACCCTGGCCAATACAACAAAACCCCATCTCTACTTAAAATATAAAAATTAGCCAGGCATGGTAGTACATGCCTGCAATCCCAGCTATTCCAGAGGATGAGGCATGAGAATCACTTGAACCTGGGAGGTGGAGGTTGCAGTGATTGCCAAGACTGCACTGCACTCCATCCTGGGTGACAGAATGCGATTCTGTCTCAATAAGTAAATAAATAAATAAAAAATAAAAATAATTAGCTGAGTGTGGTGGCATGTGCCTATTAGTCCCAGCTACTTGAGAAGCTGAGGGAGGATCACTTGAATCTGGAGGTCGAAGGTGTAGCTATGATCATGTCACAGCATTCCAGCCTGGGCAACAGAGCAAAACTCTACCTCAAAAAAAAAAATATGCTATTATCAATAGCTTCACAGATTAAATCATGTACATTAAAAAGAAAGTTAGGGCCGGGCGCGGTGGCTCAAACCTGTAATCCCAGCACTTTGGGAGGCCGAGGCGGGTGGATCACAAGGTCAAGAGATCGAGACCATCCTGGTCAACATGGTGAAACCCCGTCTCTACTAAAAATACAAAAAAAATAGCTGGGCATGGTGGTGTGTGCCTGTAATCCCAGCTACTCAGGAGGCTGAGGCAGGAGAATTGCCTGAACCCAGGAGGCGGAGGTTGCGGTGAGCCGAGATCGCGCCACTGCACTCCAGCCTGGGTAACAAGAGCGAAACTCCGTCTCAAAAAAAAAAAAAAAAAAAAAAAAAAAAAAAAAAAAAAGAAAGTTAGGCCGGGTGCGGTGGCTCAAGCCTGTAATCCCAGCACTTTGGGAGGCCGAGGCAGGTGGATCACAAGGTCAAGAGATCGAGACCATCGTGGTCAACATGGTGAAACGCCGTCTCTACTAAAAATACAAAACATTAGATGGGCATGGTGGCGTGTGCCTGTAATCCCAGCTACCCAGGAGGCTGAGGCAGGAGAATTGCCTGAACCCAGGAGGCGGAGGTCGCGGTGAGCCGAGATCGCGCCATTGCACTGCAGCCTGGGTAACAAGAGTGAAACTCCGTCTCAAAAAAAAAAAAAAAAAAAAAAAAAAAAATTAAAAGAAAGTTAAATATATTTTCTTTTCCTTTGGGAAATATGGTACTCAGGCCAGTTACCCCTACTCTACAATCTATTTTCTGTCTCTTCTATACTTGGCCCACTGCACACAGGCAGAAAGCATTCCACTAGATGGTGCTACGACACTTTCATTATTATTATTATTATGTTTTTTTGAGATGGAGTTTCGCTCGTTACCCAGGCTGGAGAGCAATGGCGCGATCTCGGCTCACTGCAACCTCCGCCTCCCGGGTTCAGGCAATTCTCCTGCCTCAGCCTCCTGAGTAGCTGGGATTATAGGCACGCGCCACCATGCCCAGCTAATTTTTTTGTATTTTTAGTAGAGACGGGGTTTCACCGTGTTGGCCAGGATGGTCTCAATCTCTTGACCTCGTGATCCACCTGCCTCGGCCTCCCAAAGTGCTGGGATTACAGGTGTGAGCCACTGCGCCTGGCGACACTTTCATTATTTTTAATTTGTTTTGCGACACAGCTCCATTTTGTTACCCAGGCTGGATTGCAGTGGCATGATCACAGCTCACTCACTGCAGCCTTGACCTCGGTGATCCTCCCACCTCAGGTTCCACAGTAGCTAAGACTGGGGGTGTGTGCCACCATATCCGGCTAATTTTTGTATTTTTTGTAGAGACATGGCTTTGCTGTGTTGCCCAGGCTGGTTGTGAACTCTTGGATTCAAGTGATCCATATGCCTAGGCCTCCCCAAATGCTGGGATTTACAGGAGTGAGCCAGCACGCCCAGGCATGACATTTTAAACATACATTTCACTGTTTTCAGTGGAAGCTGCTCAGTCAGAGAATAGGAGTTCTGAATTAGAAAGTATGGATCTCAACTGTAAATACACCACTTAAAAAAGAAAAAAATAGTAAGTGGTGTATTTTTTAGATACACAGTCTTGCTGTCACCCAGGCTGGAGTACAGTGGTGCAATTTCGGCTCACTGCCATTTCCACTTCCCAGGCTGAAGTGATTCTCATGCCTCAGCCTCCCAAGTAGCTGGGATTACAGATGCACCACCACACTCGAATATTTTTTGGTGTTTTTAGTAGAGACAGGGTTTTGCCATGTTGGCCAAGCTGATCTCAAACTCCTGGCCTCAAATGATCCAACCACCTCAGCCTCCCAAAGTGCTGGGATTACAAGTGTGAGCCACTGTGCCTGGCCCATAATTTCTAATATTATTTTCACATAAGATTATTGTGAAAACTCACTAAAATAATGTGTAAAAAGCACCCTGGACCAGGTGCGGTGGCTGATGCCTGTAATCCCAGCACTTTGTGAGGATGAGGCAAGAGGACTGCTTGAGCCCAGGAGTTTAAGACCAACCTGGTCAACGTGATGAAACCCTGTCTTTACTAAAAATACAAAACCAAACAACAACAACAACGACAAAACGACAGCCAAGCATGCTGACATGTGTCCGTTGTCCCAACCATCTGGGAGGCTGAGTTGGGAGGATCACCTGAGCTTTGACAACTGAGGCTGCAGTGAGCCTTATCGTGACACTCAACTGTAGTCTAGGTGACAGGAGTAGGATTCCGTCTCAAAAAATTAAATAAGACTTTGCTAAGTAAATGGTCCTTTTTTTTTCCTGACATGAAGTCTTGTTCTGTCACCTAGGGTGGAGTTCAGTGGCATAATCTAGGCTTACTGCAACCTCCACCTGCCAAGTTCAAGCAATTCTCCTACCTCAGCCTCTCAAGTAGCTGGGATTACAGGCCTGCGCTACCATAGTCAGCTAACTTTTGTATTTTTAGTAGAGACAGGGTTTCACTACATTGGACAGGCTCGTCTCAAACTCCTGACTCAAGTAATCTGCCCGCCTCTGCCTCCCAAAGTGCTGAGATTACAGGTGTGAGCCACTGTGCCCAGGCAAGTAAATGGTACTTTTAATATTATTGTCATCATCTATTGTTGGCTAAAAAAAAGTCAAGGGGCCCGGCGCGGTGGCTCACGCCTATAATACCAGCACTTTGAGAGGCAGAGGCGGGTGGATCACGAGGTCGAGAGATCGAGACCATCCTGGTCAACATGGTGAAACCCCGTCTCTACTAATGGTGCAAAAAATTAGCTGAGCATGGTGGCGCGTGCCTGTAATCCCAGCTACTCCAGAGGCTGAGGCAGGAGAATTGCCTGAACCCAGGAGGCGGAGGTTGCAGTGAGCCGAGATCGCGCCATTGCACTCCAGCCTGGGTAACAAGAGCGAAACTCTGTCTCAAAAAAAAAAAAAGTCAAGGGAGGGAAATAAGAAAAAGCCAAGAGGGGATATGCTGAAGTAACCCCTTAAGCTTTGGAAAGTGAAGCAACTATCACTACCTTAAAGAAAAGTTGAAAACCTCTGATGAGAGTTTTGCTCTTCTGTCTTGTTAATAATGTTCTCCAGATGACTGAAAGGTCTTCAAGGTTCCAGGCATGGTCCTCTATTGAGTCCTGAATGTGTCCCATTGCTTCAGCTGCAACACTGTCCTCCACAGAAGTGATGATCCAAACACAGAGACAAGAAACGGCACTGGCATCCTGCCACGGATAAATAAAGTAACAACTAGGCCTGGATTACCTGACAAATGTACAAATGCTAGATGGGTATTTCCTGTTTAGAATAACTTACCCAACTTAAATTAGTTAAAATGGCTTGAAAAGCCTTCAAACATAAAACAAACTCGTGAGCAATCAAGGGAACGTTCTAAACTGTCCTGCAGAGTATTGCAGATCAAAAGACCAAGAACCAGACGGAAGGGGATATATGTCCAAGTCAGGGTAGTACTAATCATAAGACAATAGAATTGCCCTCCACTCATCTGCCGATTAAAGGACTGTCTGGAATGTTCCTCTACCCTGCTAAAGAAGGCACTAAAGAAACAGTAGTGGTTAGTCCACCAAATCATCCTCCTCTGTGACTGCCAACCAGGAACCAAGGCTTTGATCACTTGAGTGCACTGAACCTCAAAGCACAAGAAAAGTACATGAAATGGCCCAAAGCCTAAGCTAGAGAAGCACAAAAAGTTGCAGTCAACTTGGAAACACACACTGGAACCTCATCCCACTTCTGATGATCAGCCTTTCCTGTCCCTCAACACTTAATTCTGTTGTTCTCTGGGTACTTAATTTAGGGTCCTCATGATCCTCACCTGAAGACATGAGGCCAGAACACTGAGGATAGGGGCCTGTTGTTTCACTGCTTCAACAAGAAGCCAGTGCCAGGAGTCTGGCTCCTCTGAACACTGTAGCAGAATTCCAAATAAATCGGTCATTTCTTCTTTGCTTTCCTGGAGTTCCTGGGGGGACTTATTGCAGACTTGATTGCTGTCCATTTTGGTGGTAGGCACTGAGGGCAAATTCTCAAAAGCCAGCCTTAAGTGGTCTTGAACAACTGGGCTGAAGTACTGGATAAGGGATTTCACCTAGAAAGCATATCAGATGATTAAATAGAAACCCAACTCGGCTGGAGGTGAAAATGTTAAAGAAAAGCTTAGGCAAAATTATTCTTTCTCACCCTGAACTAAGTCAGAAGTGACTACTATATAATTTTACAAAGTTGTGTGATGCTTTTGAGTACATTTCCATATTCAATCTGAAGTCACAAAAGCCTTTCAGCTTTTCAGTACTAATGACTAGTGCCTTATCTGATGACAACTCACTGAAATCTTAGGAAAAATAATAGTATTATATGAAACAAAACCCCACATATCTAGTACATATCCTAGATGTCAAAAAAAAAAAAAAAAAAAAAAAAAAGGCCTACGTCTACACAACAGAAAGAACACTATCTTCTGAGAAGTTTTCCTATTTCCTCTTGAGTGACTACTAACAATTAGTGGCTTACCTCTGCTGGGTGGTAGTTGTGGAGTTGGCTGTGAATAATGAACTGCAGCCAATCATTTGCTTTGGCACATTCTTTAAGGTAAGATATGCTCAGTTTCATATTGTGTAGCCTGCAGAACTGTACCACTAAGGCCCACTGGCTGCTGGATTCACTGGATAACCTATAATTAGAATTAGAGGTGGGGGTGGTCAAGAAAAAAAAACAAACTCATAAAAATATAGCTTTAGTTTGAACTGGAAAATGAGTACAAATTATATAAATTTAAGTAGAGTACATCCTCTAACAAATACTAGATATTTATTAGGCTACTCTGAAAAAAGTAGATTGTTTCACCCATAAGGCAGAATAGCTAGCTTAGCATACTGGCACAGCACAATTGATTCCTTCCCCAAATCATCAATCACACTGGCTGTGTAGCATCTCAGAAGAACTGAAGAAGATGTCTGTCAAGAAATTTTGTGAGTGCTAATTCTCTTGCACTATTAGAGTACTCAGAGCCCTGGCTGGTGCCTGGGTCTCCTCACCAGGGGGAGGGTACATGTTCCTGCTGCAAGCAGGATATTGTCAAGTACAGAATCAGTGACAGGATGTACACAAAAAGGGTGCACTCTCAGGGTCTGGAGTGGTTAGGTCAGCCCCAGTGGGGCAGCATAGAGAAAAGAAGGCTTCAAGTGTAAGATACGCTTTTATGTACAGTCGTTTCAGCTTCCATTATCAACTGACATACTAAAAAGAAAAAATTAAGAACATTATTTAAAGTCAAATTTTGGGAGACCCATCCCACATCATCCTCTTCTTCTCCTTCATTTTTTCCAATCCTCCAAGGTATCCGAACCCATGTCTTCTGGCATTTCAACATGTATAATTTAAAAGACTTCTTCGACTAGCAGGGCAGTGGAGGAGACAAGGCTGCTCTCTGTCTCTTGTTAAGTTCATCTCTAAAGAGGGAATTGGTATCTTCACCTTCTTTTCACTGATAGCAAGAAGCAATCAAAATCATTGTCCATTTACTGAGTATCTGCTATATGCTCGGTAAAAAAGCTAATGTCTAGGGAGATTTTGGTGAATACACCAGAGGTGTTCAAAGAAAAACTGGGCAAACACAGGCTGGCATAATAAGCTTGTTAGAAAAGAGGCTGGGACTGGAACTCACAAACCTCATTATTTCCTGTTGCTGAATGTTGTTCCATGTACCTTCTTCTAAGAGAACAAGCAATTCTTCTGTGGTTGCCTTTTCACCATCAGCTAGTTTAGATAGTTTTTCAGCTGTAAGAAATAGAAGGAACAAAATATGGTCAAGAGAGAAAGTCAGAACCTGAGCATTTCTGTTTAAATAGTGTGGCTCAGGGCCATTTCAGAACCCAATTAACACGCCCAAGAAAGTGACATAAAGAACATACACTCTGAAGGAAAAGGATAAAATGAGGAAGATAACCATTTTCTCCCCAAGCACTCACAATTCAATGCCTTAGACCTATTCACGCCTTCTCTAAACAGAGCTGGCCAGATGAAGAAAAGGTGCTGTACCTACAGACTCTCTGATAAAACTGTACTGAGCATCTTCATTTCTACACTTGTAGCTCAAAATTATATTGGCCACTTTCATATCAACTCTGAGCTTGAGGCTGTCAAGTCCAAGCAATTCTAAGAAACAGACACATGCAGCTCCTGTTGAAGGTACGTGGAAGGAGGAGAGCCCTAAAACATAGGCTTCATTGCCTACTTGCTGGATCCTGAAAAAGAAAGGAATATCGCATCAGCACGTGAAGATTATTTCTCACCAGGAAAAGCAAATGGAATTACATCAGTGACACATGGAGTGCCAGCCACGTGATTTTTGGCTTCTTCCCCCTGCCCTTTTGCCCCTTGCACGCACCCATTTAGGTTCCTGGTAGCTTTTCAGTTGTTTGGCACAAGAGCACCCCCCAACCCCCACCCCCCGTTCTCTTAAGTTGATTTTCTAAAACAATTAGTCATAGTCTGAATTATTCTTGCTTCCAACTTCATTCAAAAGACATGAAGTACAACTTCTGAAAGACGGCCAACTTGTGATCTTATCAATTATGAGTATGTATACAAACTACCAAGAATATTAAAGCCACTTAAATTTAAGTTTGACATAATAAAGCACATTTTAAAGAACTCATATAGGCCTTTTATAGGAATAGAAAATTTCTGGAAAGACACACATGAAATTATTAACCATGTTTTTACCATGTGCAAAGGGAAGCTGAGAGACTTTTATCTTTCATTTTCACCTTTCTGAACTACTTGAATATTTTACCATAAAAGAGGTATTACTTTGTTAGTTATAAAACAAACTAATAAATCTATATTTAGCTGTTACAGTAAATGTTAATTCCGTGCTTTATAAAAATAATTAAATGAATTATTAAAGATATTAAATATAGAATCCAAAGCTCATTGTATAATTCCCCTTTTAAAAAACTTTAAGTCCTGGGATAGATGTGCAGAACGTGCAGGTTACATAGGTATACATGCGCCATTGTAGTTCGCTGTACCTGTCAACCCATTTGCTATACCTATCATCTAGGTTTTAAGCCCTGCATGCATTAGGTATTTGTCCTAATGTTATCCCTCCCCTGGAATTCCCTCTTTAACTGCTAATACTTGACAAGCTCTGTATAATTTTAAATTTTATTCATTTTCAAAATACATTTATCTTTTTTCCAATTAACAGAAATCACATACACTAAATGCCAAAAACTTGGGACACACAAGGAAGCACAAATTAAAATCATAACAACAATCACCATTCAAATGTAATCACTGTTAACTGTGGTATGTTTCCAGTATGTTTTTCAATGTATGTGTAAAATGTTACACAAATAGGCCTTTTATAATAAAAATTATATATATTTTTTTAGTAGAAGAGTGTCACTGTTGCCCAGGATAGAGTGCAGTGGCGAGACGATAGCTCACTGCCTCCTTGAACTCCTGGGCTCAAGTGATCCTCCTGCTTCCCAAAGCGCTGGGATTACAGGTGTGAACCACTATACCCAGCCAAAATTATATTTTAAATACTCACAGCTGCTTGGGAGTCTTGCTCTTGATTAATTCCTGAACCAGAAAAGTACCAAACGCAAATGATGGTCGTCCATGATGTAAATAATAAGCAAAATTCAGACGTTCCACTATAGCATATTTATTAACCAGGTCAGGGCTAGAGAAATGTGGGAGATGACTCCATGCATCTGGGGGGAAAGTGAAACATTATTAATTCCCTGTACATCACCGTGAGTAATTTCAGATTTTCACATGGAAAACTTAACTCTCTAATGATAAAACTGGTTGCTATAATCATTTTTCATCACTATGTATTACTTTGAACCTACCAAAGTCTAATAATTTTATTTTACTTCAACGTATAGAGGTAGCCTTCATTTTATATAAAGATGTGTACTTGAGAAGTTGCATAAAAACTCTGGTAAGAAATGATGCTCCTCCTACCTTCCTACTTAACTTACCTGTAATTTTAGTGGCTTTTTTTCTGTTGACTCTCTTAGGATCCACAATTAGTACTCTAGAGCTGCCTGTCTCTAACCTCCTGAGTACTTTGAAATCTCCTCTCCTCTCTGGGCTTCTGTGTCCTCTTAAGTAAAATAAGCAAATTGGGCTACATGATCTTGGAGGGCTGTGCCAGCTGGAGTGCTCCATATTTTGTTAAGGGAATCTTCCTCCTATGAGCGCTGCCATCTTTGAACTACAGCTTTGGCAGAGGTCTGGGAGGGTCTGGCTGCCAGTGGAATAAGGCTCAGTGACTACTGGGTGCAGAGAGATGTCTTCTCTCCGTTTGGGTCTTTCTGGCCACAGCTCATTACATCTGTTATTACAGATGCTAATGTATGACTGCGTGGAGAACTGCCAGTATGTATGACATCCCTTTATCTATATTCCAGTATCTGTAACATCCCTAAACCAATGGAGGAGCACTTGCTGGGGAAATAAGAAGGCAGACCCAGAAGTGTCTCCTTAGAGGCAATCTACCTGCTTATTTTGGGACAACCGTGGGAGAGCTAGAGCCATTCTGGTTGAATGTGTAAAACTGGTTAAAAAAGTAATAACTTTAGAAGATGTCCCAACTGATTTCATTTGTGGACACTGTTTCCAGGGGTGGAAGTCTTTAGTCTGGCAAGTCTATTATCTTGGAGGTAATAGGGCTTTAGAGTTATAAAAGTGTGTATTTGAGGCCAGGGGCGGTGGCTCACGCCTGTAATCCCAGCACTTTGGGAAGGCAGGTAAATCACCTGAGGATGGGAGTTCAATAGCAGCCTGACCAACATTAAGAAGCCCTGTCTCTACTAAAAATACAAAATTATCTGGGCATGCTGGCACATGCCTGTAATCCCAGCTACTAAGGAGGCCTTGGGAGGCTGAAGTGGGAGAATCTCTTGAGCCCAGGAGGTTGAGGCTGCA